CTGCCATTGGGGGGCGCTCTTTTGGGGAGTAAAAATTCCTTCACAAATGTGTTGATGGCTGGACATTGCATCATCCTAGAAAACTTGGAGGCCAGTGAGGACAAAAGTAAAAAGTTATAAGACTTTTAAGAATGTGGATTTTTGGGTTAGCTTTGGCGCCCCCTAGAACGTAAACCGTGGGGTGCAGCGTCATGATTTGTACAACTTTTAATGGCCATGGGGGGTAGATTGGCCTGCGCAAATGTGGTGCCGGTCGAACGAAAGCCTTCGGAGGAGTTAGCGAAATTCCAATGTGTGCAGATCTGCAAAAAATGCAAAATAACCCATTAACCGTACATTTGACAGATACGCCCGCACTGACTTTTTTGTAGATCTTATTGAGATACATGTGTGTGTCAATTTTTGTGTCAATATGACAAAGCGTACAGCCGTCATGTGAATTTTCACCTTAGGGGGCGCTATGGAGCCATTTTGCATTTTATTGTTTGGGCGACTTCAGAATATCGAATTTTTCACCAGGCCCGGACGTCCTGCCAAATTTCCTGAGTTTTCGCCAGTGGGAAGTGGGCCATTTTCCAGTTTGAAGCGGAGGAAAAATAATAACGAAAGAAGGAAACATGCAGGAACAAGAGGGCTCTCGCAGCTGCTTAGCAGCTACGCTCGGGCCCTAAAAACCCCTTGGGGAATAATAGGGCTCTCGCAGCTGCTTAGCAGCTACGCTCGGGCCCTAAGAAAGAAAGAAAGAAAGAAAGAAAGAAACAAAGAAAAACCACTTGGGGAATAATAGGGCCTACGCCCGGCTGCTCTGCAGCTGGCTCGGGCCCTAAAAAAGAAACAAAGAAAAACCACTTGGGGAATAATAGGGCTCTCGCAGCTGCTTAGCAGCTACGCTCGGGCCCTAATAACAAAAGAAGGAAACTACAGGAACAAGAGGGCTCTCGCAGCTGCTTAGCAGCTACGCTCGGGCCCTAATAATAACAAAAGAAGGAAACATGCAGGAACAAGAGGGCTCTCGCAGCTGCTTAGCAGCTACGCTCGGGCCCTAAAGAAAGAAAGAAAGAAAGAAACAAAGAAAAACCACTTGGGGAATAATAGGGCCTACGCCCGGCTGCTCTGCAGCTGGCTCGGGCCCTAAAAAACAGTATCTCCAATAAGCTCCATCAAAAATCAGGTATTGAAGATATTGTAGGAGTAATCAGTCCAGGACAGAGGTTAACTAACTGTCTGGTTTCTTCAGATTTTATGAAAGAAGCATAAAGTTATTAATTTCTGGAAGAAATAATGATTTGATATTTATCCTGATAAAAACCGTTGTCGACTGACATGCAAAAGTCTGTGGTGAAGGCCTTTCAGGCCAAATTATTCGGCCCTACCCCAAATCCTCATTCTCTTTACTTTCTGTCACCCTCGACTCTCACTTCCTGGTTTCGAACATTATCCAGCATCTTTCCCTTTTTTCAATAAAATGTATAAAAAAAAGCCTGAAATCTTCTAAAAGAATCATAGGAGACTGAGGACTGTGAAAGCTGTAATAATAAAGCAGATTTTAGTATGCAGCGCTGCTTACAACCTGGATAGCTCACTAATTTAGCAACTTATTCTGGAGAATGTGTCCATTAAAAGGCTGCAGATAGCTGTGGCACTGTCATCCATCAAGGTTTTACCAAAGCAGAAGAAAGGACTACACTTACTTTCCACATGTCTATGTGTTTCCTCTGGACTTAAGCAAAGATTCACCATGGGCATCCTAGAAAAGCAACTTGACAAGAGCCAACTGGTTACAGGCACTGACTCAAGGTGGACCATCAACTTACTTGGGCTCTAGAAGAACTCTATACACTCCAGCATAAGGGCAGGAAAACACTCGAATGAGTTTGTCTTGTTGTTGCTCCATTAAAGGACTGCCGTGGAAAATAAGATGAGTGCTTTATATTTCCTAAAATCAATTTCTAAATGTTTGAAAATTCATCAAAAGGAGAGACGAGAGTTACAGCATTAGGCCTAATTTCTGAAAATGTTTAACATTCAGAGTCGAGCTTTATGGGTGTGAATAGTGGATGCATCAAACAAAGTCCTCAAAAATAAACGTGTCATGTGTTTGTGGTAATAACTGGACTCAAGTGCATGCATGACATTTAAATGTGCGACTGTGCGTGTCTCCGCAGATGTGTGGACAGTTTAACTTGCATGACACAGGATGCGTGAGCTTGCATGCAGTTCTGTGAGTGCAGGTTATGTTAGTGTGCATTTCTGGGTTTGTGTGTATGTGTGCGTGTGTGTCTGTGAAGAAAGTAGCAGCAGTTGAAATGCTGACTGCAGTAAATTGTGCATCCTCTCCCCTGACTCCAAACCCACATTTCCACTCTGGTCATTCTGCAACAGCAGCTGGTGCACACAACCAAAATACATGAAGCTGCCATCCAGACTCTGTGTGTTTTCATTATTTATCTGTGGAGTTCTGAGAGAGCGTGCTCCCTCCCTCCCTCCCAGCAGCCTCCTGCTTTGTATTCACACAGCTCCCCACATTCACACCTCAGGGCTGCCACAGTCCAACCAGTCAGCCACAGACCTCTGCTGTCTAACACTCAGCTGCTCCACTAGCTGCTGCGCTTACACAGACACTGATTTTACACACCTCTGCACTTGTTGGTCTCCAATAAAGAAACGCCTTTACATGCATGGTTGACAGCATAATGTCCCTAAAGATGTTGTGCACTGAGTTTTGCATGTAGGAATTCAAAGTTTGAAAGATTGACTTTACTGCCCCCATGATTTTTCTGTGGTACTGCAAGTTTGGTCCACATGTGTAAGCTTATAGAGGATGAGCAGACATACAGATAAAATGAATAAAAGTACAGACAGGAGGTTCTGTCTATATTGTTGGCTAAGCCTTAGCTGAACAAGAACAGTCAAGCATCTTAAGTTGTGGGAAGAAGAATTTCTTGAATTGGGGATTCAAGGTTTTACTTTTGGAGATGCAGACTAACAATAACAAACTTATAACACACTCTGTGGAATGCTCTAACCCCAGTCAAGATTAATTCATTGGGCTCTATTTTCATGTCCGCCAGTGATGCGGCGAAGGGTGGCGGACCCCGTGCAGTGGTATTTTCGTCTGGCGGAGCCCTGCGTACAGCCAGTTTGGTATTTTTGTAGACTGAGGCGCACCGAGGTCCGCCAAGCTGGGCGTGGTGGCACGGCAGGGGGAGGTGTCGACAGAAACAGCTGGCGCAGGGACATTTTCGTGCTCGCCGGTGGCGTATAAAGTGCGCTGAAACCTCGCCGATTCAAACCTGGTCAGCTTTCAGTGCAGGCAGAGCGCAGCTGGTCTAGTGGTATTTTGGTAGACCGGCGGCATATCGGCATACGTCACTGATGCCTCACAGGCAGGTTTCCACAATGTCAGGCACATTTCAGTGCAATAGATAATCATCAACAACTAATAATCTGAGTCAGCACATACATTTAGATCTATATAGATATATTCTGATCTATATGTGATCTGATGAGCGCGTTTGGCACATGTTTGGACACACAACCTGACTGAATCAACAAAGCTGAAACTTTAAATTTTTTATTAAATTAAATATCTAGTAAATAGAGACACATGATGAAGTGAACAAGATATTTAATTCATCTCCCTCCTTTTCTTTCTTCCTCTTCCACTTATTTCTTGCGCAGCTTGACCTGGACATGTCTCTGTGTCCTCTCCCCGTCCTGCTGCAGCTGCTGCGGCTAAACAGATGATTTATTTAGTGATCAGATGAGTTATTTACTTTAAGCTTACATACGAATATTATAATAATCACTTTTGTCAGCCAAATTTATTTTATATGCCAACATCTATGAAAGAAAGAGCCAGGCCACGGAGCATGATGCGTCATTACGCACAGATGGTTCCGATTTTAATGCCATTATTGGAATTTATGTTGTGATCTGTGCGCACAACCCACCTTTGTCACGTGAGGTTTGAATATGTGTAACTTTATGTGAGTGTCTTCTTTTGTGGAAAAGGGTGTTTGTCTTACTAGTGGGTCCAAACTTACACACACCAAATCCATCTGTGCTTATATGAGACAGTGTGCAGGACGCCCTCTGCAGCGCTTACAGCGACACTTGTTGAGGGGCTGCCTTCTGTCGCCATCGTGTGGCATTGCTGTCTTCATACATCTCTTGATCTCTTTGACTACTTCACAAAATTGTAATACGCCAATTTGCCACGGCAGTGGCAGATTTAAAGGTGAGGAGAGGAGCGGTCCTGGTTGGCGAAAAACAGGTCTCGACTGTGTTAAACCCACTCCACGTCCTCTCTCCTCCCTCCCTATGATTTACCCCCCTGGGAGGAGCTGAGTTAGGGAGGGGGGATACTTACGCCAGGCTGTGCCACTCACCAAATTACCAAATTACCAAATTGTGCTTAGGAAATGCCTTGTCGGCGCGGTGGACCTGACTTACGCCGCACCTGCGCCACGACGTTGGCAAGGCACAAAAATAGAGCCCATTAAGTCTTCACAGGAGCAGGTGAGTGATCACTTCAACAATCAGAGTACAACAACAACAACAACCCGTGAGAGAGAAGGTTAGATTATTATAGAAACCGGTATTCAGAAAACACAACAAACTGAGTTTTTGATGTACAAATGCAATAACAGAAACAGTAAAACAAAACAATTACAGTACCTGCACTGCAATATTGGTATGAGTATAAAGGGGAGTTTATTGTACACAAGCACAGCTGGGCACATGCATATGCGGACTTCTCAATCAATTATTATTTTTAAATGAGCTGTAGATTATAAGAACTAGAGATGGGGTTGATGGCTCTTTGATGGGAGAGAGCCATTCAAATGACTGACTTGTTCACGAACGTCACACCTCGAATACAAACCACTGCAAGAATGCAGCACTGTTTTGGCTGACAGCATCTGCACTGAAGTCAAGAGCATCTGAAGATGTGTTGGTTGCCAAAGACCTTCCTCTAAAAGGATACCACATGGACCCCATGCTGAAAAGAAGAGTCTGAACTCCCATCATTGGTATCTTCTCTGAGACTGTTGGCTTGGGTTCCAAATCCATTCACCTGGCAAGACAGATCTCAAACAACTTAAGTATGAGCATATGACTTTTGTTGATTCAGAGTTATCGGCGGATCCTTGTGAAGTAACCCTGCATAGCAGATGGATTGGCCAGATGTCATGTCTGTCAACAAGTGAATCTACAGATTGCAGAAATGCTTGTTTCCAGTCAGAGATGTCTACAACAAACCCACTGATTATTTGGACAAATAATCAGTCAGAAGCAGGCTCGAAGTCAGGCTGCACCCTCCCAATCATCAGGAGTGGCGAATCAGGTCCCAGATCTCATCTACAATGGTCTGGTGTGATGCCAGCTTGACACAGAGCTGGTTCCTGGAACAGATGGGATAATGAAACCATGTCAGTGAGAAGACGTGAAGCAAGTTGCATCTTAAAATGATGAACAGACGACAGTAAGTGTAGCTGAAGTACTCTGCTGTTTTCTCCTCATTTAAAGGAGGATATTTTCAGACAGAAATAGAGGGTCAGAGTGTTTTGCTCCATATCCAGAGGATCTTATTGCATCTTAAACACAAGAAGAAGAAAAGAAACTATCCCTGCCTGACATGATTATGATGCAGATAAAACACAGATCAACACGCAGAGTCACAGAAGGCCATATTTGACTGTGATAATGTGCACAGTGGTTCACATTATCACAGTCACAAGAAGGATGAGGAACAGCTGGAATTCATCAGCAGCTCAGTCACTGCACAGAGTGTCCTCAGAGGCAGAGTGGATTCATCCGACGCTCAGGCTGTGAGCAGGAGACGAGGAATAACAAGTCAAATAAGAGAGAGGAGTGAAGCCTCTTTTAAGGTTTATTAAAGCTGCAAATAAAGACTGGATGATATTTATGACTGTGTTTGAATGCCATTTCTATTTATTAATTTCTTGTTATTCCCTAATACAGTCACATTTGTTTAGATGCACCGGATGTGAGCAATAGGAAATTCTCACTCCTGTTTTAGCTCAGTCTTGCACTCCCTCTGTTTAACCGGCCCTCATTTATTAATCTTGCGTAGAACTGAGCGCAGGATTCATCGTACGATAGGACACACGTGAGATTTATGAAAGGGTTTGCATCTGACCAATCCCAGCGTACGTATGATCGGGTCTTGATAAATGCGGCAGCTGAAATCAATCGTCATTAACATGTTTACGCCCTTAAATATTCGTGGTTCAGAAGCCTCGCCCACTGAGGTCAAACATGAAAGAGGAGAAATATTAGAAAGATTCTAAACTTTTCCAAGCTGAAAGTGGATATTCTCACATCTGTGGTGGAAACTAACAAGGATTTGCTCTTTGGAAGCATCAAAACTGGTATAAAAGCAGTCCAGAAAACTCCTGTCTGGAGCAGGATTATGGTGGCGCTGAACAGCGCTGCTGCGGAACAGAGGACAGTGGCTGAAGTTTGAATAAATCATTAGTCAGTATGATGAAGAATAAATATCTCATACATGCCTCATATTTTTTTATTGACATGACATAGGGTACGTTGCTCCTATTACTGAAAGTATTTAGTTTTAATTTGTTGCGTCTTTGTAATGTAGAGCAGACTGGAGAGTCTGACAGAGGCTGAACAAAAACCTCACCAAACGGTATGTTGCTGCCCCTGAGGCACATTTTTATGGATTACTATTTGATTTTTATCACAGAATAAATAGCAAGAGCACTTTCTAAACTTATATTTTACATCAGAATCCATGGATAAGGTCCTGTCTCCTCTGTACAGCACCTTTGTGGAGTCTCTCCTCGGTATTGTTCTCTGGGCATCGGTCCTCGCGTAGCACCGGCACAGCCAATGGCACTCCGTTCGCCACTGCAAATTTGTGCAAAACTGTACTGGCCGAAATGATGTCCCACACCCTTTCAGGGAGTACAACAACGTCCCCGCTGCTGGGCCAAGACAGAGACACCTGCCTTTTAGGAGTCAAACGCAGCGCAATATGTGTGCGTAATATTAAAACAGTGCTCCTGCTCTGTGGCAGTGTTTCTGGGCAGAGTTATCAAATAGGCCTATTCACTGAGGACATAACAAATTTATTTTATTTATTTTATGTCTTAATCTTTAATGAAATCTGGCTGATTGTACTTAATGACAGGTTTGAGGTTTGTTTATTAATTATTTTGAGACAGACATTTGCTGCACCGCAAACCTGCACTGACTCAAACTTGCGTACACGATGTCAGACCTGTCGTGAGATTTGGTCGTACCGTACACTCACGTGCAGATTGATAAATGCCAATCCTCATGTCACAACTTGCGTACGCAAGGCGTAGGTGAGTTTTCTGCCGTACGCAAGCTTGATAAATAAGGGCCACTGTGTTTAGTACCCTTACGCTGACAGATCAACCTTGTTATTCCTCACATTAGACTAAAACCCTGCTCAAATTAGATTTTTAAATCCAAGCTGATTTCTGAAACATCAGAGAGCCTGCACATGTCGACAAATGATGACAGATGTAATAGTTTTGTTCCTGTAATAGTGAAATCAATCAGTTCATTGAGTTACTGTACTCAGTTACTCTGCCGCTCTTGGGTTATAAATTCAAATTGAATGTAAAAGCATGGATCAGAAAGGAATATCATCCACTCTCTGACTCCCTCATGCAGACTTAAGATCTGTTGTTTAATTTCAAGCTGCGAGCTGAGAGAGATGCCGCCGTGATCTCAGTGGGAGAGCTCTGTTCTCATCGTGAAAACGTATTAAAAAAAAATAAATAAAAGGGGGTCCTTAAAAGGTAAAACAGCTGCTCAGAAGGTTTAGGACACCTAACCGACCTGAAGAAAGAAGAGAGGAGAAAATAACCTGAGCTTAATGGTCTCATTTTACATTTTAAGAGCGCTCTGTTGCACCTACACAATCCAAACATTGGATAAACTCCATCAAGTCAAAACACTTGTGTAAATGCCCACCTGTCCGCTAACTGGATTTACACAGTTAGTTTTTCTTGAGAGATATTATATTAAATATTTGTCCCAGTTTCTGCTGATCCCTAAATCTTTGCATGTAAGTCATATTAAAGTCAAAAGTAGATTTTTGCTCACACTGTTTTCCAATCCTACTTTGTTTTTTTGGCTCCTCTAACACAGAATCAAACTACTCCTGATCCATCATGTTAAATTCACAAAATTTAATCATGTACACTACAGGCCAAAAGTTTGGAAGCAAGATCAGATTTGTACAAAAAACGATCATAGTTTCATATATATAATTTGCAACACAATAAACATGACTATTGTGTAAAGAGTAACTTATCAGAAGACATTTTGACTATAATTATTAGGTCTTTGAGTTATTGTTGCTTAGACCTTGCTTTTTTTAAAGTAACCTCCTCTGGCTTTAACAACAGCTTGGCATATACCAGGCATTCGTTCCACAAGTTTTTTTGAGGTATGTTCCAGGGACTGCATTCCAAGCTTTCTTAAGTTCATTAAAAAGAGACTGCTGATTCGTGGGACGCGTTTTTCTGATCGATCGATCGAATTTATCCCGCACAGGCTCAATTGAGACAGGTCTGGAGACTGAGGGGGCCAAACCATCTTTTGAAGAACACCTTCCTCTTCTTTTTTGTCTAGGTTACCCCGACAGAGCTTGGCAGAGTGCTTAGGGTTACTGTTTTGCTGCAAAACAAACTTATGAGCCACAAGTCTGAGTCCAGATGGAACAGCATGGTGCTGGAGGATGGAGTGGTACTGTTCCTTCTTCGTGATACTCTTTACTTCAAAAAATTCTCCTATTCCATCCCCTGCAAAACATTCCCATACAGATGTGTTATGTTTTCAACCCTAAAACTAAGCCCTTACTATCTTTTGCTGACATATATTTAGCAATGGTCTGTTAACATCAATGTATATCTAAAGGTAAATGGAGTAAAATGGTGCATTTCCATGAAAGCAACATCTGATCATGGAGTAAATAAATCCCAAAATACATAAAACTCAAGCTGGATTTAAAAAAAAAGCATTGTGAACAAAAACTTGAAGTTACTCCCAACTGTTTGGCCTGTAATGGTCTTGCTTCCAAACTTTTGGCCTGTAGTGTAGATGCAACTATATCAGAGAGGAAAAAAGTCATTCTGCCAATAGTCACTCAACCACAGAACTATTTGGCAAAGGGCTCATTTATACATCACAAATGACTTGAGTTTTTTCTGGATTTCAAAGACATTTCAAAAGTTTTTAAGAAAAATATATTAAAAGAGCATGAGTGCTCTCCTCTGTGATTTCCTGCACCACGCCGTAATAAAAGACTCCCCAGTCATCAGCTGAAGTTGCTGCTGCAGTTACCTCAGAGGGAACACTCTGTTCTTACAGCCTAAATGTATTTCATCAGCCCGTCCTTACATGCAAAAAGTCCTCCTAAAGATAGTTGGGGACATCTCTCACACCTGTGGGAGGCTTCACAGCTCCACTCCCATTAGCGTCATGTGGGAGGTAAACACCACCTTCAAATATGGAGGCAGCGTGTGAATACCCAGCTTCATAATAAAGCATGAGCTTTGCTAGCCAGATGGAGAGATGAGTTAAAAGGGAATAGGAGCTTATAGCCAGTAGCTAAGTATTCTCCTTGGATGATTTCCCCACTGTGCATTTCCTACAGAGCCACTCAGCGGCCAAACATTCATCAGTTTAAAAGCCAATGAAATGAAAGCTACATTATAATATGCAATATCATGACATTTACTGAGCTAAACTGTTGAAATGGTCAGATGATGGATGAGCGCTATATCAGTGAATTTTCACCTAAATATTTGCTTTTACGTGATGCATGTTATTAGTGTTTCCACATCACAATTCAGGAAAAGCATCCAAATAATCATCCCTATGATTCTCTAAAACTAACAACCTATAACTGATGACGGAGGCCTGGTTTGTAACTCTACACCACAGTGGACCATGCCATCTTCAGCACTATGTACTTATGAGAATGTCTGCATCATATTACAATACTTCATCAAAACACTGTCTGTGATGTGATGTCTATGCTTGTTGTATCACCAGTACATTAGTGCAGATAAATGTTGGGCAGTAGTTGATGATGCTCAAATTATAATAAAGAGGAAAAGGAGGAGATGTTTCACGTGTGTCTTGTCAAACAGGACCTGCTGCGTGTTGTAGTGCTGCTAAACTGTTGACCTCGGGTCCTGGACTATGTCACTTTATCCTAGTTGTAGAAGTCCTGCAAACATTGTGTTTGCTGGTATTCTGTTGGCATCTGCACTGGAGGCAGTGACTGGTTCTGTCTAGGGTTTCTCTGCCTCGTGGTGTGCACTCAGCTCAGCCAGGTGGTGGTCTGCAGCAGTGCTTGCTGCTGTGGGCCCCTTACTGGCCTGTAGCGGGATGCGCACTCGGGTGGAGGTGTCCTGGCCCTGGGCCATTAGCAGCCTCCAGTGCAGTCGGCCTCCTAACATTTCCTGACTTGGCTCCTCTGTACTCAGCCACACGCTTTAAGATTGCATTATTTGTGTGTGTGTGTGTGTGTGTGTGTGTGTGCGCGTGCGTGCGCATGCGTGTGTGTGCGTGTGTGTGTGTTGGGTTGGGCTCTAGGTGAGGGTTGGGGGGGTGGGATGGCGGGATGGATATAGGGGGGCTCATTGTTTTAAATTGTAAAACACTTTTCAGGCAAAAAGAAATGCAGCACAGAGTTCTATATAAATAAAGTTTGATTTGATTTGATTTGATCTACAGTAGCACCAATGCTCTTTACTTTCACGTTGACTGGGACCCATTTGTAATTATCTAAAGTATTTATCTGCATTATATCTGAATTTTATTGAAGTGATACAAGCAAGAACAAGCGTCTGTTTGTGGGCGGGGCTTGCTGGAGCAGAGAGCTGACAGGAAAACTGGTTGGGAGGGGTAGTGTTTGCAATCAAGATTTTTCCCCAAAACTGGCTCTTCCTCAGACCCTGTCTACCTCACCTTTAAGTGGACCAATCACAGAGCTTGCAGTTCATTATGACAAATTATTGTATCTCTTTTTTTGGGAGGTGCATGTCAGGCTCTGAGCATAGCACTGACATAGATGTATAAACCGGGCTTTACTGGCAGGAAAAGGGGTGTAAAAACTTTTGCAAGATATGGCGACCCTTATACTGATTCTTGGACATGGTGGACTGGACCGCATAGCTATTCATGAGCTCTCCATTATACCCTTAAGCTTTAAAGTAGATCTCCTGATGTGTAGTCAATTAATCAATCAATCAATTTTTAATCTATATAGTGCAATATCACAGCAGTCATTATCCCAAGACCCTTTTCAAAAAGAGCAGGTCTAGACCACGCTCATTGTTTACCAAATTAATGGATGAGTCTTGTTACTTCATCGGTTGACTTTGTAATTACGTCCATTTTTTATTTCACCCTGACTTAATCTTAATTAAAGTGTTGTGTTTTTTTAAATGTCTAAAAAAAGGCAGCGTAAGATTCCCATTCCATGAAATAAATGAACTTGTTTCCAAATGTGTCTCATAGTGGACACTGGGTGAGACACACGCTGTGATATAAAGGATCAGCGGCTGGTTGCAGTGGGGCCACATGGTGGACAGAGACTCAGCAGAGCCAGTAAATGAGAGAGACCAGCGTCATCTTCATTTTTCAGGAGACTGCAAACAGCAGAACAAAAATTTATTACCAGCAGACCAAGCAATATTTCCCTCTAATTTTAAACTTCCTGTCACAGAGCAATGCTTTGAGCATTTATTTCATTCAGAAATGTTTATGAATATGAATGAGGACCCGTATAGACCAAGCTCATCGCCAACATACTGTGTGGGTCCAACACAATATGTAATGCTCACTGATGCACACACAATCAAACATGCATCACTCAATGAGCATACACACACAGACAGACACACGCACATGCACACCCCCACACACACCCCCACACACAAACAGGTATACAAACCAGCTGAAACGCAGCAGTATGCAGGAACTGAGCCGAGAGCAGAAAACATTCACAGCTCAGTAAGATTAAATAATTGATATGGGACACGGACACACTGAATAAAAGGAAGTTATTATGAATATGATCCCGAGAGGTTACTTATATAAACACACACACACACACACACACACACACACACACACACACACACACACACACACACACACACACACACACACACACACACACACAGACTGTTGAGAGCAGGCCCAGGACAAAGCTGGGAGATATTTGTTTGGTAAAGCTGTTTGGGTTAGAATTGCTCTGAGAGACATTTATAGTAATGGAAATTAAAGTAAGATAGAGAAAGGCGGAGGGAGGGATGGGCAGATAATAAAAGAGAGAAAGATGGGGAGGAATAAGACTCATGCTGCCAACTTTTAAGAGTCAAATGAATCATTTTCTATTATATTATGTGAAAAATGTTAAAACAGAGCTTTCTCTTCAGCTACTTGGCTGAGACCTACCCCTCTCACCAGTCCCAAAGATTCAAAATTACCACTTAAAAGCCAGTAATCTGGTTACCAATACTTTAAATTGTTTTTGTATGTCATAAAAGGGCATCCATATGGATTTAAGTCTATTTGATTAACCAAAAAGAGCTCTTCAGAGGAGCTTCAAGAAAATTAGAGAGAATCTAAATTAAGAAATAAAACCAACTTTCCTTGTTATTTTTACCAGTAATGTTAAAGTTAACTAATGTTCAGTTTAACGTTATGAGGAGAGAGAGAGAGACAGAGAGAGACAGAGAGAGACAGAGAGACGGACAGACAGACAGACAGAGAAAATCTGTGTGAGGATATCACCAAGGCTCAGGTTGTCTCTTTCAGCCCTCAGGGAGACAGAGAGGTGAAAAGACTGAGGACAAAGACAGAGAGCCTTTGTTTGGTTTATCACTGAGTGCACTCACACACACAATCAAATACACCCTCTCTCTCTCTCTCTCTCTCTCTCTCACACACACACACACACACACACACACACACACACACACACACACCTGCAGCAGATTGTGATGGATTGGAGGTAACAACCACGTTGTCATGGTTTCTTTTTGCAGAATCCTTGTATGGAGCCACACACACACACACACACACACACACACACACACACACACACACACACACACACACACACACACACACACACACACACACACACACACACACACACAGGATACCCTTTGTGCTTTCCTCTCCAGAATCCTCTCCTGAACCAGCCAGATGGTGAAAATGGTAATTATGGGAGTGATTTGGTCTGATGTTGTAATGTTGTTGTCAAGCACTGCAGAGATACAGGAGCACAGCAGGAGAGACAGATCAGGACTGACACCCTTTGTTCTGAAGTTTTCTTCCAGGTTAAGTGACCCCTGGAGATCTGGGTTCTGGCAGAAAAAACGTTGACTGAAAGCAGAAACTGAGCAGACTGAAAGTCAATTGAACCACCAGTGATGGGGCTGCTGCTAACAACCAACAAATCTGTCCCTTGAGACTGACCGGCCAACAAGAGGACTCTGTCTCTGTGATGTCCTGAGAGTTTTTTAATTAAAAACTGAGGGCAGAACATCGTGTCAGACTTGCTCCACATGAACGGCTGCGGTGGGATTCAGAGGTGAGGTCTGCCAACTAAATTTAGCAATGAGCAAAACTTTGACCTCCAGGACTCGGCTTGATTCTAAGGTGAAATAGCAGCAGTGGTGAATTTGTGTTGAAATCTGGTGCTGGATATCATGTGTCTGATAATTCTTATAGCTAACAGGGGAAGAACTCCCTCAGCTGTCACCACGTCCCTGCTGTCTGATTGGATGAGAAAGCTCCTCTGTGCAAGAGTGTCCGATTGACCAGGTGCCTCCTTTAGACCCTGCTGAGGGACTCGGTCTAACCTGCTCTGTGATAATTGTGCCCTTTAATCAACTAGTCTGCTTCCTGCCTGAGAGCCAGATGGTGGGTAACAACACCTCTGTTCTGCAGCCTCACAACACAAACAATATCAATATTACAGCAGTACAACAGTGGTGAAAGGCAGGGGGCCATGCATGTAGACATTACGACACCTCAGCAGTTTTGTTCTTTTGTGTTCCCCATGACATGGCAGCTGCTGCAGTAGAGACATTCATCTTATTAAAGGAACAAAAGTCATCTTTAAATCCAATATAAAAATGTAAAACCAAAGAAAAATTAGGTATACAATAGGGATGCATAATCTGTATCACTGGGAACAGGGATATTTTATTGTCAGTATTATAATAATACAGTTTAATCCAATTAAACAAAAGAAAAAATGTTGATTTGCTTTTCAACAACCTTATTCACTCTGACTCTACAGTGGGAGATGTGCAATTCAGCGGCACAGACACAGAAGAAGACAAGCATCTGACAGGGAATAATGGTGGCCTCACATGTCTGTATGTCTGTCATTGTTTCAGAGGAGGATAACAACTGCCACTTGCAAAATGTGCCAAAAAAAAAAAAAAGTGTTTTAACACAACTTCTTTCGAGTCACATTTAAAAACCTAATTACACCAAAGATCTATTCATGAAATGTGAAGCACAACCAGTACAAGTAGTTGCCATAGTGTCGATTTAAGACCTGCAGGAAGTGTAGAGATGACTAAACAATGTTACGATATACTGGCACTGATGATATATGTCTTTATAGTAAAATGATATGTTAATATTATGTCAAAACAATAAAATAAGCATACAGTTGGGACACAAGACATAGGTGAGATGAATAAAAGCCCTTAAAAAAGCAGGGAAAACACAGGAAGTAAAGTGGACTACACACACCAGGATAAAAGACTACAAAACAAAACAGGAAACACGAAAACCTGAAAAACACAAGGACAACAAGATCATCAGTATACTATGCCCAATAAAACACACCAAAACAAACAGTGCTATGATCCAAGAAATGACAATCCAAGGTCAATATTTTAAATTAATCTAATTATCAATTGGATCTCTGTCAGACAGCAGATTCCCACTAAAATACAACATAATTGGGTTGTATATCTCTATAGTGTTTTTTTCTTTGGTTGCATAAGTGATGTTCAAGGTGAGTTCTGAACATAAATAAATAAACAAATAAATAAACATAAAAGAAAGAAAGAAAGAAAGTGTCTTACGGAGTCATTCTCCTAATAGTCACACGGGTACAGACTGACGAAAACATGACCCAGCAGCTGATGCTGTCTCATAATTTCTAGAGCTTGGCCCATTTCCTTTCTGACTGAACAATTGGTCCAGGCAGTGAGCTGTGGCTTTGTACAGTGTGTGTTTTCCCCATGACATGACCGAGTGAGCTACTCCTAATGATCCTGCCACACTGCCACTAAAAGCAGAGTCAGTAATCAGGCAGTCTGCTGCCACAGGTAGCATGAAGCTGGAACACAGAAACATCCCAAAATAATTAGATTTCAGGGGAGCATTATCACACCGCGCTGATTTACCCTCCTTTCTGCAGCACAGATTTAACTTAGGCACTAATAATGTGTGCTGCTGCTGCTTCTTCTGCTGCTGCACATGTTGTGAGATTCAGGTAATGAGACTATTGGCAACGATAAAATAAACTGGAGTCACCAGGTGTCTTCGAGCCCCTTAAGACTGCTGAAAATGCCAAACCTCCTTCTAACTGTGTGAGAAAGAGGACCAAAACTTCACCACTAAACAAATTTATCTCTTATCCCAGCGAGAGATATTGGCAAAGGACCAGCGTGTGGTAGAAATAGACTCAGTCCAACTGCAGGAGATAATGTATTACACTGGAGCTCTCTCTGAAAAGCATGTCTCTGGCACTGCTGGGGTCTATTTCCAGGTAAGCTCTCATCTTGCAGAAGCAGGGTCAGTATCAAGATGGTAATAGACAAGCTCAGAGCTGTATTTCTGTGTTGCCAGGTTGGGTAAAAAAGAACTGACCTCTTGGAGAATACAATTGCCAGTTACGAAAACTGCATCTGGTGTGTAATATCCACATAAGAGAGCTGTGCGGGGAGTAACCTGCTGGCCTTCACTGACCAGAGCAAAAACATTTTACTGAGCTGCTGCTACTGCTGGTGGTGGAAACACAAGGATATGGAGGTAACCCTGTCTTTGATTGACTTTACTGCACAGCTGTCCAAATCGAATTTAAGACTGACCCATCATGCTCTTCAAAAGTCCTTTTGGTTTATCTTGAATCTTGATCAGTCCCGGTTGAGAGAAATAAGGAATGAAAGCAGATGAGGATGGAGCAAACTTTTACTATGTCCAATACGTCAGATCCCTCCTGTAGTACAAATGTGTTTCTCAGAGTTTCTTCTGGAGATAATATCAGATAGAGCTAGATGGAGATAGATGAACCTTCACCAGCACCACTGTCTTCAGCACAGACAGATTAATCCTGGTCCAGTCCTGTGGCTGAATGAGACAACTTTTGTTCACTGAGCAGAATCACAACTGGTACATTTAAGCGTGATGCTGAATAGAAAGGTCAAGGCTCTGGAAAACAACAAGCAGCAGGCTCAGGTGTTGGGAAATGAAGCCAATATGGAAGTGAGACAAACTGTATTTTCATGAGTGTCCACTTGAGTCTGGCCGCAAACGCCTGAGTATCCAATCAACACTTGAGAGAAAATGTCCATTTCATCCTGTGGGATGAAAAATGTTTGCAGCCTGCTGCAAACAAAGGTTTGGTCTGAACGCTTCGTTCATGTGTTTATGCTCTGTATTAGGGCAAGAATGATATTTAATTCACAGTTTTTGAATATATTAAACAGAAGAGTAAAATTGCATGCTACAGAGTGTGCCAAGTTAGCTGACAGGTGAGGATGACAGGTGTGGCTGTTTGCCTTATTTCCTCCCAGATATGGTGTCCGTAGATCCCAATAGACTGATGATGCCCCTATTGTCTGATGCAAGGTAGTGCATTTCTCCTCAAATGGATCAGAACCTAAACTACTTGTAGCCACTAAAGAGAGGCTGATACATAAAACCCACAGGGTGCATGTGCACTTCATTTCATTAGCACCACATGTTTAGGAGCTGAAACCAACCCTTTCTGTTCAATGTATCACACACTTCCTGTGGACTTTGATGTTTCTTTTTTATAGTTTTTTCCACTCAGATTATCACAGTAGCTTATTTCCAGCAAAGATGACAGTCTCAACTCATCAAGTTGACTTGGTCTGTAGATCCTTAGTAAGCTCTCATTATTTTTCAAATGATACAAAGAGTCCAAACCATCACCCCCCTGATAAAGTCTGAGTACTGATGTAAATGCACTCATGATTGGCTGCCAGCTCACTGCAGTGTCAGACGTATTGTTATGGCAGCTCATGGCTGTTAATTCTATGTTGAGGGACCATGTGAGTCATATTCAGAGCAGCCACATGAGTGTGTTGGTGTTTGACATGATGAATGAGTGTAGTTTGGTTGTAAAAAAAAATAAAATAAAAGTTACATTGGAACAAAGACCAGATCCTGTCAGCTTCCTGATGAGGAAGAAAGTGTCGCCTGTTGTCCTTGAGTGAGACTCTCTACGTCTACTTGTTCATTCATTACAAGTCACTCAGAATGAGGACATCATCAGCCAAATCCCAGAGTAATAATACTGCAAGGGCACATTGAAGGAAGTACTGGATGCCTCTCATTTATCTCGTTCAAGTTCATCTGCACAGATTGCATGAGCAAGCAAATTCTCTCTTATTAATACATTTCTCGTTTAGTGCAGTGATTCAGTACAAGGCCCCTGGCAGATGCCTTGTTTTTATGACTTGTGCGCTTCTCTGGTGCATCTGCCACACAGATTAGTGTTCAGCTGTGCTCCAGAAGGCATTTTCCATCAAAGACAGGCTTGTAACCCTTATTTTCCCCCTATTTTCAGCCTCCGACCAGGGCAGAAGAGAAAAAGATGATAAAAAAAAAAAAAACATATGGTTTGACTTTCTTACTTGAATTTCTGGGACTGAATTTCAGTGTCATTCAACAATAAAAAGAGAGTTGATCTTGAGTGAACCCTGAGAGTGTAGAGTCCTAAACCATTTAACCACAAACTGGAGACTGAAGCAGTTCCCTTACTTTTGAACCTGAATCTTGGGGGAGGAGCTTCTTGGGTGATTGTTATCTGGAACTAATTTCCAGGTACTCTGGAGCACTCTGACACCAGCAGACTCACCCCCAAATTCCACTGCATGCGGAATGGTGGCGAAAAGGCCGTTCATGTGTCAAATTCCACTGGCTTCTTTTTGGCCCCCTGCAGTTCAGCAGGCTTTGTATTTGATTGCCAGGATTCTGTTTTTTTTAGACACGGCATAAATTCAGCACAGATTAGCCTGTGCTGGAAAGGAAGTCAGGCACAGATAAAATAAAACATCTGTCTCCTTTTCAAAATAAAACACTACGAGTTGCAAGCAGATAATATTTCACACCATGCAAACATGGGTGGGGATGAACAAGATAAAGATAAATATTGCACTTACCCGTGGTAAATTCCTAGTCTCTACACAAGTGTCTGATCTGCCTGTTCTAGACAGAGTAGATTTCAATTTCAGGACACAATCTACTGACTTTAAGGTTATGTGGATGTCTTTATAGAGACAACTCGTTATCGCATGATTGCATGTAAATTTGTCCTCTTTGTCCTTTTTGAGTCCTCTTGATTCCCGCTGTCCGAAATTCGCCATAAAAATTGCGTCACAAGTGCATCCGGTATGATTTGGCAAACGGCGAATATTGCTGCCGTTTCACATGCTGTGGAATTTAAGGGTAACAATGTAAATCACAGGCTACATTAGTATTCATCCAATTTTAGGATGGTTAACTTTAAAAAAATATATATTTATTATAATATACTTTATTGTCATATTTTTCTCAATTTCTTCCTGTAATATTCCACTGATCCATTTTCCTAACCTCTCTCCCAGCAGTAGGACCAGAGGCAGGGTGCTCTATGTTTGCTGTGCTGAAAATCCCCCCACTGTGGGATGAATAAAGGTTTATCTTATCGTTTCACCCCAAACAACTGCCAAGCCCATTACAGGGCAAACGTGGAGAGACCAACAACCAATCATGCACATGCTCACACCTATTCAAAGTGACCCCTTACCTTGACCTGTCTTTGATCTCAACTGGTCTGTGCACTGAGGGAGGAAGCCTGACTTCCTGCAGAGGAGTCAAACATGCAAACCCCAGATAAGAGGTTGGGATTGTAACCAAGGATGCAATACATAAGAATACAATGTCAGCATTTTAGGCTGCACATAATCCTAACATGCTAACATGGCTGCTCAAATCAAGGCTCTTGTGTAAAAACATTCCCCCTGTGATGCAGTTTCTGTAAATTTCCACAGACTGCTCTGAGCTTCCAGCTCAGCCTGCTCATTTCTTTCTCATCAGCATGAACCAACAATTATGTAATGCGTCAGACTGTCCTAGAAGCAAGACAGTAGAGCCATAATTAGTCACTTATTGCATATTCATGGATAAAGGCAGGAGTTAACAGCACCCTGCAGAGCGTGTGGCAGGAGCTTTGATAAGTGGAACTGATGACCAAAGCAAGAACAAAATAACAAAACCAAACTTGATTTCTGCTCCCAGACGAGCTGCTGCTGCTGTTGATGGATAAAAAAACAGGAAGAAAGAGAGGAGCGCTCTGAGGGCTGCCGGGCCTCTAAACAACACTTTAATCAATCTTTAATGCAGAAAAATTGGCTCTTTAATAAATAACTGTGCAATGAATCGACAATTTGAGATCCAGCAGGAAGCCTGGCTGCAGGTAGAGGTGCAGACTAGCAAAAAAGTGAGGTAGAAAGAGCTGATAAAGAAACAAACAGCAGAACTAATGGTATGCGAAAGGAAGGAGTGATGTTAAAAAAGGAGACAGTGGGAAAACAAGGGTTTAAAAAAGATCAGGGAAAGCAATGTGACAAAAAGGGAAAGCAGACAAATGTTTCCAGTAAGAACCTCCTATAATCCCATGTGCTCATGATTTACATTTTTATATATTGAATCAGCAGAAGAGGGGAGACCTGAGGCAGCAGAGGAGACACAACCAGAGGAAATGAGGAGAGAAAAGGAGACTCATCAACAGAAAATGGAGAAGAGTTTTGGGGACAGGGGAAGGAGACATGAGAAGAAGGATCGATCAGAAGTTAAGAAAGGAAGTGAGGAAATAGAAGGAGGGAGAAGAAATGAGTGACAGATAGATGGAGCAACAATGAGGACATTAGAAGACAATGAAGACTGAGAGGAATAAGAGAGGTGAGCAAACAAGGAAAGGAAACAAGGAAACAGAATAAGGGAGAAAAGAATGGAAGGAAAGGAGAGAGAAATATTGACATGGAGAGGGGGAGTGAGAAAATTTGGGAAGGAGGTATTTGCAGATAGGAAATGTAGAAAGGAAGAGTAGAAAAAGGTGTGGCGAGAGTGGAGAGAGATCAAAAAAGGAAAATGGGGGAAGAAGGAGAAGAAATAAAAGGACAAGAGAGGGAAAAATGGAAAATTGGACATGATAAACGCTGAAGTAGTTAGATGTGCTGAAAAAAGTAATGAAACACCAGTTTTTAATGCAGGACAGAGGAGATGTGGGTTCATATGTGTGTGTGTGTGTGTGTGTGTGTGTGTATGTGTGTGTGTGTGTGTGTGTGTGTGTGTGTGTGTGTGTGTGTGTGTGTGTGTGTGTGTGTGTGTGTGTGTGTGTGTGTGTGTGTGTGTGTGTGTGTGTGTGTGTGTGCTACATGCCAGAATCAAGTTGTTATTATGATAAAGGGATGTGCAGCAAAAACCAATCACAGCTGGCCAACTCCCAAGTCAGAGGCAGAGAGGAGAGAAATTGCTATTCCCTGGAGAAACATCAATTTGCCTGCTCACATGCCCTCACACGCACAAACACACACACACACACACACACACACACACACAGACTTACTCAGACAATGCACCTCCTGAGAGGCTGCACCTTGCACCTTTGCAGAGCATCACCATCAGAGGAGTTTTTCGGAGAAGCTTCTTAGCTGGTAATTGCTCAGTGAAACTGCAGCAGCAACAGGCCGGGGCCACAACATTTGCAGGCACACAAACACACACACACACACACACACACACACACACACAAACAAACACAAACACACAATGAGGCATATCTGAAGTGTTTGGTTGGAGCTCAGCACTTTCATTGGCTTGTGTTTATTCCTGTCGATACAGTGCTGTCTGCATAAATTGACCGCTGGGCAGTCTTGTTTTTATTACTTCATAAATGGACTGCAGTCTCCCACAGGATGTGTGTGTGTATGTTTTTGTGTGTGTTAGTGTTTGTGTGTTTGTGGTCATAGGCCGCAGACGATTGTAGCTGTTGCTTGCAGAGCTACATTCCTCCTCTATTACACCATGTAAAGATGAATGTGTGTGTAGGTTTATGGTCTTTAAAGCGTTGCACCTCTAGCTCCACTTGGAGCGTCTCATCTTCTCCCTGAAGTTTTCACGCCGGCTGTTTGGAGCGAGACGTATCGACGGGGATTTCAGCGGCTCATCTCTTAGCACTCCCTCTGGGGAAAAGGAGATCAGCGAAACATGGGAAGAGCAAGTCTCACCTTATATGCTCCCTGACAGAACAGAGGGAATTGATCTTTTGGTGGGCTTCCTCCCCTGATAATCACCCAGACTGAGACTCACACACACCTGGGATGCAGATGGAGAAGTTCCAGGGTGGATCAGGTGTAATGTGGGGCTAAATGGGCTGGTTAACCTTGAAATCAGCAGGAAACACCAGCTCTCTCTCTCTCTCTCTCTCTCTCTCTCTCTCTCTCTCTCTCTCTCTCTCTCTTTCTCTCAAACAAACAAACAAACAAACAGTGGGTTTAGTGTCTACTGTGACTGTACACAAAAATAAATAAGAACAGCAGTAACACAAAATAAATTAATTAAGTATCCACAGTGACTGTACTGCATGGTAAAAAAAACAGACTGTTTTGCATTTTTAATCTTTTTCTTTCATGGGTTCAACAAAAATCATCAATCTGCTTCTTAAAGCTGTGTGCAGGAACATCAGGGAGTCTTTGCGTACAGATGACCAGAGGGAATACTCGGCTGTAACGCTCTGTGATAACCATGACTGCGATTAATTTAAGCTCATGTGTGAACAGTTATTACATACAGGGAGATAGCACAGGAAAGCATTACAAAACATAACCCCTGCATGTGTTGGGGTGAATCATGATTTGTCATTATGAAGATACAAGATCAGATGTGTGGACAAGGACAGAAGGCTGCATCAGGATTTAGAGCTGTACCATTCAGCATGTTGAAGAGGAGTGGGACAATATTTGGATCTGTCACCCATATATGGTCATCCTGACCTGACCAGGGGGGTATTCCATGAAGCTGGCTAAAGAAGGCTGGGCTATCGCCGGTAAGCGTGGCTTGAATAAGCGGCCACTTTAATCTTAGCTGCGACTTGTTCCACTAAGGAGGCTCAGCTGTTTTTCAGAGACGCTTATTCTAGCCAGGCTGATCCAAGCCGCGGCTATGCGCGCCTCCGTGGTACATAAAAAGCCCTGACATATCGATTGTCAAAATGACAAAATCATGGAAATAAAAGGGCAGAGCGGAGTCTCTCTCAGCGGCGGAGCAAACACTCCTCATGGAGTTGTACAAAGAGTACAAGGGAAAATTCCAAAAGTAGGCAACACTGTTGTCATTGTGAAAGCCAGGGAGATGGTGTGACAAAGTATCGTGGACCGTTTAAATTCCTAAGTTATAGCCGACAAATATTTTACAATCGACGCATGTCTCGATGCAGTCAGCCTGCCTGGCTGTCTAATTTTATTCCTCACTTCTGCGTATGTACTGTAAACACTTTTTTAAAACTTTTCATCTCGTGTATGTGCAGCTCACTCATACAGTCAGTCAGCCTCTGTGCAGCACCTTCGCAGCAAGCAGTGGCAATTTGACAAGAGTTAATACAAAACCGCTTCGCGGTGCAGATTTATTATTATCTTTTTCTTTCTTTTTTAAGTGCTCGTGCTGCCCCCCATGAGTCATGACACAAATGCCGCCCCGGGCGGCTGCCTAGAACCGCTACTGCACTGTAGGCATAATTCATGTTCTTGATTTGACAAATAGATATCCATAATGGATTAGTATAGCAGCTACAGGTAAGACCTAAAACCAAAGTAGGCAAACTTAGACAAAAAGTGAAGAAAAACATGAACCTGGAGATGTCTCTTTTTTCTTTTTTATTAGGGATGATAGTGGCACAGCGCCCTTCATTTAAATAAGGGAGAAGACACAAATGAGCTTGTACACAGAGTAGTCATGTTGTCATTTGCCATCACCTTTACATTATCATCATCATAATCAGAATGGACAGGAGCCGAGTCTCATGCAGGGTTAAAAGCTAATGAATAAAAATGGGTTTTAAGACGAGTTTTAAAAATGGACAGTGTGGGGGCTTGTCTGATTTAGAGGGGTAGCTCGTTCCAAAATTTTGGGGCTGCAACAGAAAAAGATCTATCCCCTCTGAGCTTCAGTTTGGACCTCGGTACCTCCAGGAGCAGCTGATCAGCTGACCTGAGGCACCGAGCAGGGGTGTAGGGGTGGAGAAGCTCAGAGAGGTAAGATGGAGCCAGACCATTTAAAGATTTAAAAACAAATAAAAGAATCTTAAAATGAACTCTAAAGTGCACGGGTAACCAGTGGAGGAAGGCCAGAATGGAAGTAATGTGCTCCCTCTTACATATTCCAGTTAAGAGCCGGACGGCCGCGTTTTGTACTAACTGGAGAAGTGAGAGGAAGGACTGGCTGACTCCAAACTAGACTACATGGATCTCAGACCACAAACTCTTGATGGTCCCTCGCACCCATTTTAAAACACAAGGTGACTGCTCTTTCCAGGCCAGTGCCCCTTGCCTCTGGAATGCACTACCATTGACCTTATGTAGCATAGAGTCTACTGAAAGTTTTAAGATAGAACTTTAAACCTTTCTTTTTAGACAGGCCCTTAACTGATGCCGATGTTGTGGGGCCTCTGAGAAGTATTTGTATCTGTGCCATTATATGTATTGTGTTTCTCTGTATTCTGTTGCATTTCTTACATCCTTGTTGTAAAGCACTGTGATTTTATCTATGAAAAGTGCTATATAAA